CATTATGCATGGAATTGTTCAACAAGCACTCTTCCGAGAGTGCCTGAATCTTTTCCCAGTCTTTTTCTGAAGCCAAAGGCTTCAGATAATTAGCAAGTTGCACCGGCCAAGATAGCAAGTTGCATCTGGTAGAGACCGAAAGAGTAACAATCCTCCTCCTTTGTGGATCTTCAGAAGGGGTATCATTATTTTGCCCCAAATTCCCATGAACTAGGGACTGTGGAAGAGGAACACCTTCTTCATGGTCAGATGCGGCCGATGGAGGTAATGTAGCAACTGTTGGTGGAAGAGTGGATGAATATGGAAGTGATGTAGCAGTTGCTGGTGTTGGTGAAGGTGGAGATGAAGCTGATGGAGTTGAAGAGTGAGAAGCAGCTGCATCAAATGTAGTGCTGGTTATTGTATGCTCGCTAACCAAAGACGACAAGGACTCAGTACTCAGCCCCGCAGTACCGGTTACAGCAATTGGGGCCCGAAAACGGGAGTTGGCATTTTCTACCAAATCATATTCTCCCTAAAGAGCCGAGACATCGTCTTCGGTTGATGTAACTTTCTCAACAGGCCGAGCATCCTGTTGAGATGATGAGGATTGTCGCTTTCTATGTAGAGAAGCTCCCTTATCACTAGCTTCTTCATTATCATCAATCATCATAGTGTCTATGACCGGCCCGGAAGGAGAACCAGTCATCATCGCCACCGGAGATGACTTGGGGGCATCAGTTTTGGCCCTCTTATTCTTTTCCCCGGCCGCGGAGGAACGTCTTCTCTTTGATTGCTTATCCTCCAGTCGGGGACTCCGTAAAGAAGTGTTCACACCCAAAACAGGCCCGGAGATACCTGTTCGAGTAAGTGCTTCCTGAAGCAGCCTTACTACATCAGCATGATCTGCCAAAATGTCCTTCTCGGCGACAGTAACATAACATGTAGGTAGACCAAATTTCGTGAAAAAGATAGAAGGGTTCAACCAAGTTCTCCATCTAAAAACAATAGAAGAAAGGTAAATTAAAATTGCCATGATTTTTGGCCTTCCACCAATATTTAAGGGCTAGTTCTTTACACAAACAAGTTTCGAGTGTCGTGACGTCCAAGATCTTCTGAACCCACTGGTCCAAACCTTCCACCACAGGTGGGATCCATCGAGTTGCTGAAACATGCGAAGGGTGGAGAGTTGATACAACCATAAAAGAATATCTAGTAAAAAGAAATACTAAGCAAAGAGCTTACGAGTGCGGTTCTAAGCAACCGGAAAGGATGAAGCCATTATCGTAATGATGTCGTTGGTGGCTACTGCAACGAACCGTTCCATCCACCCACGGTCGTTGTCATCATCCATGCTAGACAACAAAGCATGGTGGACACGCTTGCAGAGGTTTATCATTCCCCCACAGAAGTTTTTGGGAGAATAGAGATTCATCATATGAGCTAAGGTTAGCTCCTCTCCGGTTTCCTGGCACAAGCGTCGAAGACAGGCGACCGTCCTCCACACTGAAGGACTTACCTGTGCCAAACACATCTGATAGTGAAGGCAAAATTCCGCAATCACGGAATCAAGCTCTCCGCTTAAAGAAAACGCACCCAAAGTAAAGGGATACGTGAAAAAATATGTAATACCTTCTTTGGGAAGGTTCACTCGCTCCGATAGATCAAGAGCAATGAAATCCAACTCATGGCAGCGACAGTCCTCCTTCACAGCAGGAATACTGGAAGGACGGATGGAAAAAGGGTACCTACTAACAGCCCATGTACGAGGGTTAGCAGTAGGGAATTTCTCTTCAAAGTCCTTTGTAGTACTAAGTCTTCTTATGGAACTCACCGTTGGAGAAACAGAGTCCTCGGTTTTGTTCTTATTCTTTGTAGAACCAACACGCTTGGAGGAAGAAGCCATTGAAAAAGAAGAAGGAAAAGGTTTTGTGTTTGAAGAGAATTAGAGAAAGGATAGAAAACAAAGATGCAAACATCAGAAGCTCGAGAAATTATAAAACGTAAAGGAAAAGAATGTTGCGTATAAGTAAAATTTTAGCGGCTAAATTTATGGTCATGATTACCTCGATAATAGGCAAAAGTTGTGCTGAATCATGGGATGACGCATGTTCGGGGCATTAAATACGGAAAGTTGTGCGTCTAATCAACTGTGAGAAACTTTCAGAGGGAGTTATAGTAATTCCCGCCAAAAAGGTGTTTCTACCAACTTTCCGATAATACAAAGTTATGTCACCGGAAAGCAGGGGGACTATCTCTATAAGGTGAAATATGATATGACACGTGGTCGTCTAAAGGGAGGACACGTGGAACCCAAGACGGAGATGGCCGAAGACCGAACGCAGCCATTCCGCTTGTCACCAGAAAGGATAACGTTCATAAAGGTGTGTTAAATGTTCTACGCCCGATAGTATTTAATAGGGAATATTCTGCAGCATTAAGAGCGACAGTCCGTTACAGAGAATTTGGCATGTATGTTTACCGTTACATCTTCATCAATGACCCTCATAATTGACATTAAAGGAGGACACGATCCTAGGACCTCCTCCCCTAGACATAACTATAAATAGTAAGCTCAGTTATCATTGTAAATGATACAAATTTTCTGGCTAAACAGATACTACAATCTATATAAAGCTTAATACAATCTTACTTTCTTGCTTTTGATCTCATCATTGCTGTGCCCGGAAACCTTGTTCCCGAAATTGTCATCTTTGTTGTTTCATCTATATTTCAATGCTAAGTATTGTACATTTCTTCAATTATTGCATTATTTCAGGATCAAATTAGTTCACTTATATAGAAACCACGTATAAATTCAACTGTGCCGTTTTACGGGTAAACATTAGCATTAGAGTTAATAGCAGAAGTTGGTTTGACTAGTTTTAAATCAGCTAGTAAATTAATTATGTAGTATTTGAAGGTATAGGTCCGATTAATTTAAAGTGCTTGAAGATTTTAGTATATGAGAAATAATTAAAGCGTTTTTAGTCCCAAGGTCAATACTCCAATTCTAATACTCCAACTCGAAACACATGATTTAAAAATGTTGTACCCTCCATCTATCACAACCTTGCACGGTCATGTTGACATGCAAACGAGTCAATGCATTTATTGTACTAAAATACACATAATCCTTTAATTAGTGTGAATGCCATATATATTAGCAGACCAGCATCACAATTTTTAATTTAAAAAGACAAGAGTTCTTTATTAATTCAACTTAATTAAGCTTATTCCATCTCCGGCTACAGTGCTAAATATATTATGGAAAAAAATAATACTACTATAACCCAAGCCAAACAGAAGTATAGTAGTAACAATCTATTTATTACAATAACAAATTACGTCTCAGTCCTAAGCAAATTGAGGTTGTCAGTAAATCTTATGCTGACTGTCAGTCTATCACAATTCTCTTCTTTTATTCGAACTTTGGTTGATAATATGAGAAGCTCGCATATGCAATTATTATTTTTTTTGGTTTCTCACTCAGAGTCCGGTACCCGCATTGGAACCCGACTATCTCCGAATTCGCGCCGCGTAAGTCCCCATTCGGGAGGAAGTATTACCTACCAAAAATATTTTTCATACTCAGGGCTCGAACTCGAGACCTCTAATTAAGGAAAAATCAGTCTCCTCCACTGTACCACATCCTCCGATGGCCGCACAGACTAACTTAGTAAAAATACATACATTTACATATATGAAAAAATAGGAAGGGAATGTTACGTCTTTGAGTCAACACTGTTTGTGTGTTGTGTGTACGTATGCAGATTTTGACTTTGGACTTTCAACACTGAATGAGTTTGGAGAATAACACGGTTAGCTTTCTCTTCCATTTTTTTAATTAAAAAAAAATTGCATGGTCAATTATTATTTTTATCAATTTAATTATAAATTATGTATTTACCTATAATTACCTTATATGTGATATAATTATATTATGGCATTTTTTCTTACATTAATATGATGAATATAACTTAAACTCATAGACATTTGGTAGTATACTAAGCTCCATCCAACACAATGGGTCCACCTGTCGGATGCAAATTATTATATCATATAATTGCTTTTATAATGTTAGTTTCTACACATGCAAGAATTCTATAAATAAACAAAGAATAAGAGATATCAGTCATAATCTTAGTGATTTTCACTGTCCCAATATCATATCATTAATTATTTATACTCTTTTTTTATGAGTGAGACTCAGGAATTAATGTAAGAAAAGAAAAGGAAAAAATAGGAGAAGACAGCAGGCTTTGACGCATATATATTTTATTTTTTGACTCTATGATTCTGTCCAAATTAGAATCTTAAATTTTAAACTTCTGTACAAATTGATGCAACAGAATGTAGGTAGACCTCTTGAAAATTGGATTTAGTAGAAAATAATGTACTCCTAGTACTTCTGTAGGACAAAGCTAATTAATAGATTTGATTACGTTACCTCTTCGGCCGAACCTTATAACCTTAGTCGAAATACTGTATTAAAAAATTTATTGTATATGTATAAATTATTAAAGCGATGAAATATACACATATCCTTCAAATTCCTTTTTTTGGGTAGAAATTAAAGCGATGAAATATATTATTGCATAATATGCATCAATACAAAGTAATAGGTTCCTGCATGATAGAATATGCTATCTATTAATCAATCTGAAAATGGCACTCTCATCTCACTTTTCATTCATTTTCATCACGAAAACAAATATAGCCAACATAATGAGATGCAGGCGAAGCAATTAGAAGTACTCGCGTCATGCCCTTAAATTATTATTCACAAAAAGATTCGATTCTGACTTTATAGAGTCGACACCTGGAGCTTTTGTTACGGACATAACATCATCAAATGCAAAATAAAGGACAATGTAAAATTCTTCCTTCCTCGCAATTATAATAATTGTACAAAAATATACTCATATATTTGCAAACTACAACCTATGATATTTCCAAAAGTATATATTTACCATGTTAATTAAAGCTACTTATATCCTTTATGCTAGTTTCAACTAACTTCACCATATGGATGGGAGCATTATTTCTCCATTGTAAAGCATTGAAATATTGAGCCCCCAAAGGAAAAACTCCTTTGTTCTATTGAAGAAATCAATGCCTTCTTCTCTTTGAACTTGCAAATTACTCTTAGGAATTCTGAGCAAATTGAGATAAGTTGCTAAGTCATGTACACAAGTAGGGTTTTGCATGTTGAAGAAATCTAGCAAGATTTCAACTCCAACATGGGCATAACAAGAACAACTCCAAGGAACCTCATATTTCCCACCCAATAAAACCCTAAAATTCTCATTCAAAAAAACCCCAGGAAGTTTTGTGATGGGATCATTCACATTCACTATTCTCAATACTTTTATACCTAACTCTTCACATCTCTCTTTGAAGCCAAGATTTCCAACCCTAGGACCTCCAAAGGAAAAAACTGTGACCGGTATGCTGTTATTTATTTCTGATACTGTTATTGAGGATTCGTATAGTTGATTCTGACTTACTTGGGATTCAGGCACAATTGTCGTGTTCAATCCCAACTCCGCGATATCATAAGCTAATAAAAGGGCTAATGCACTTCCCATACTATGTCCTGCAATTGTTATGCTCATTTCTTCGCCTTTATACATATTTATTACTCTCCCTATCTCAGAAAGTAATTGTTCGCGACAACTTCCAAGACCAAACTTTTCATCCTCGTTCGAGGTGTACAAACTCAAAAATCCAGCTTCAACCTTAACATCAGGCCTGAGATTATTCGGATCAAGATGGGCAGGAGTTAATGTGCTCATCAAATTCGCTATCCATTCAGGATTAGTGACCGTTCCACGAAACGTGATGAGCACATCTCTCCTGCCCAGTCTCGTAGATTCTACATTATTTGAAACTGCAACATAACCAATCCATTTTCCACTAGACGAGCAATTTTGACCAATTGACAAAACATTGATATTTGTAGTAGCATAAATGTACTTTGTTACATTATAGCCTGAGTTTCCCAAGCCAACTTCATTCAACATACTATTTTTTCCATACTTGCAATTCAAGTATCTTTTTGAATTTGGATCAAGATCAAAAGCATTGTAACATGCAGCTACAAACTCTCCATACCTAATAATCTCATTTTGTAGAAGATTATCCAATGGATTTACTAAATTTTCCCAATTTTTTGACCCTTGAATTTCTCTCCACATGGAAGCCAATCTATTAGTAGTATTTCTACTAATATTACTATGACAAAATGTTGTAGTCATAGTAGTTGGCATAGTAATATCTTTTCTTGATATTACAAGTGGTTCATGCACAGAAGTAGAAGCCATAATTGGTATCAATTTTGATGATAATGAAGATGATAATTTTGCTGGAAACTCACCTGAAAATGTAGAAAAATTCATATTTGGATCTGGCAATTTAAGTATTGTGGAAGCCATGAAAAATAGTAGTGAGTTTCGAATACCGAATGATTAAAAAAAAATTAGAAGAGCGAGAGAGATAGAGAAAGGAATAGATGGAATTTTGTTTCATGGTTTGTGTGTATATATATTTGATATGGACTGTGATGCCACGGACGGTGTAGATAAGGGAAGGGGAATAAAGGCGTGTTTGGCTAGGAATTTTGACTGAAAAAATATTCAGAATTATATAGTATGAAAGTGGACGGTTGGCCTCAAGTAGTTAGTAATTTATTTGTTTTATAATTATATAGTGCTGCAAATACTAACAGTTTTGAGCAGGAACATATATATATGTAGTGATAAAATGGTTTGCTCTTTCCTTAGCTCATCACCTGTATGGTTGACTTCAAAGGTTTGGTGCTATTTATATAAAAGATTATTACTAGCATATATATATATATATATATATATATATATATATATATAAAATTTCTGACAATAGATTTTGTATAACTTGCCAACTTTCTGACAAATAAGATATTACATATATAATTGTGCTTGTTACGCGCGAGCAGAATTAAAGCTCCACTCGCCATATAGGTCATTCCTTTTTTCCAAGTCCGTTAGTTATCATTTACGGTGGGTGAATAAACAAATGGAATATTCCATGTGATTAGATTAATTTATCGAGAAAGTTAGCGAGGTTCTACTATGGTGAAGTAAAAGATCTTTGATTTTCATAATATGAATGAAAGAAAGTCAATCAATTCCAAAAAATTGTTTGTTCGCACAACTGTTTAGACTATACCACAATTATCATTCCTCGTTTTCCCCTACCAAGTCCTTATCATTAAGTATCTTAATATCTATATGCTGATATTTGAAAGGGAAAATTTAAAGAACCTTTTCTAACTAAGAATTTCTATAATCTTGATTTGGACGGTCATGCAGATTAAGTAGCATCTTAAGGAGAGGTTGTTAGATTCTAAAGAAAGTTAAGAGTTTAGCTTATAAAGAGATGAGATCTCATATAAATAAAAGTAGGTTTTATATAATTTGCAGTGGGTTGCTCTAGTGATAAGCACCCTCCACTTCCAACCAAGAGGTTGTGAGTTCGAGTCACCCCAAGAGCAAGGTGGGGAGTTCTTGGAGGGAGAGAGACGAGCGTCTATCGAAAACAGCTTCTCTACCCCAGGGTAGGGGTAAGGTCTGCGTACACCTACCCTCCTCAGACCCCATTAGTAAAATTATATTAGGTTGTTGTTAGTTGTTGTTGTTGTTGCAGTCATATAATAATAGATGTAATGGCTTAACTGGAATAACAGTATATATTCTGTTTTGGCAGATCTAAAATCAAATTTAGGAATAATAAGGGAAGGTAAGATATATATATATATATATATATATATATATATATATATATATATATATATATATATATATATATATATATATATACATTTGAGCTAAAGAGTATATATTTGGATGAGTTCAAGTTATATACATCGTCAGTATAATAAGTCACTTAAAGGATATCTATAGGTAAGTCTCTTTAATATATGTAATTTGTATTCTTGAAAATAAGACTACAACAGATAAAGATGATCTGGCGATATAAAAAATTCTTACGCCGATAGTGTATAAAATTTGAAATGTATAAATCCATACAAAGACATGCATGCAAGGTAGTTATATATAGACAACATATGAGATTTCTCACTTGAATAGATTAGAGAAATGTATATTTTAATTATTTCAAAAATATATAGAGAGAGAAATATTTATTTTATTTTTTTGTATATATATGTATTATATACAGAAAATATACATATTTTATATATTTTTCGGCTAGCGAATGCAAGTAGTTTTAGCCGACCTGCCAGTTTTGTATTTAATTGCCAATAGATTAATTGGTTATTAAACTAAACTCACAATAGCGACCCAAAACAAAAAAATTAGCATATATTGTCAAATTTTGTAAAGGGTTCAAATAGAAAAACAGATTCTTCTTTCTTTAGCGTGTAATTTTGTAAATGTACTAACTAATTTTGGAGTGAGAACAAGAACATCGTTTAGTTCACATAACTTTAAAGAAATATATTTCTACTATTAGAAGTTTTAATTAGCTTTTAGTACAACTCTTTGTAACTATTATTTCTATTGGATGAGCTTCAATTAAGGGGATGAGGACCACATAAAATTTGATAAATATATTTGATAATTGCTCGTTGTGTGTTAAAATAACTTGAGTTTACCAATAAATAAGAACCCTAAAGTGGAAATGATTAGAACTTTTTTCGATAAGGGAGCTTTGTTAGTGTTTACTTCAATAAGAACTTAAACTATTACTATTTGAAAAAAAAAAACGAATTAGTTTGTGTCTCTATTTAGAGAAGGCGTAATGGCTTCCTCGCCATTTAAATTTGTAGGGCTTTTAAAAGTCGATACATGAACTTTAAATTTTTTCATTTGAACACTCGGACTCATTATTTCCTTAACTAATAAACACATCTGACCATTGGGCATACGCGCGTGTATTACACATACATAGACGTGTCCATCCAATCAGCAAATGACCACTGAATTTGTTGCACATCAAGGGCGCGAAAACAAAACCCAACTGATCGGGGTCCCCCCACTTTTATTCCATAGACCGACCAAAAGACACTCATTTTACCTCTCTCTAACCAAACCCTCCCCTGTTAAACCTAGGTTAGTAATGGCCTGAAAATCAGTCACCCCCTTTCAAAATCGATCATAATCACTCACCCATTATTTTATTTTTATTTATTATCAGTTAATCTCGTTCTGATCGAGTTTCGTTTAGTCTGTGCTTTTGATTCCAGTGATGTTATAGGATCTAAAGGTTAGTTTGCCTCTTTTGATGTCGTTTTCTCTTGTCATATATTTTATTATGAATTAATGTGTGATATTCAGCTATATTTTAACTGCATGCACAAATTATTTATTATTTGAGATTTTAAATTAGGGTTTCTGAGAAAGACAGTCGCATCTTAACTTTACTTTAGGGATTTTGTCTCTTTTGATGTCGTTTTCTCTTTTGTCATCTAATTTCTTATGAAATAATGTGTGATAGTCAAAGTTATTTTTTGTGTGCATGCACAATATGTCAGTTGTTATTTAGGATTTTAAAGTAAGATTTTTGGGGAAACCAGTTGAATCTTAACTTTACTTTAGGAATTTTATTTTTTTAATGACTGATCTGGCATTTAGGGTTAAAAAATTAAGGCTTTTTTGCATATCAAAATATTCTTGTCTCCCACTATGATAAAGTTATGGCTTTTTAGGGTTAAAGTGTATCTGACTTGGACCTTTTTTTTATAGGTTTCAATAGGTGTATATATAAAATTATAGTTTCATCATCTAGGATGGTTAGTGGCGGACCCATTTATGAGGTATGTAAAGGGAAAAATTTGACTAGTTATTCTTCAGGCTAACATTAATGAATTGTATATAATTCATTTTAATGAGTGGGCTAAGGATATGGGGTACGTAACAGTAGATAAATATGCATGTAAAATTAACAAAAAAAAGAGAATTTTGATTTCTGAAATATGATGATGATGTGTTAGCTTTGTGTAAAGAGTTTAAGGATGGGGATTTTATTGATGTGTATCTATGTCACACAATTAATACACAATGTATTGATTTGGACCTAGATAAAATGTCGAGTAGTGGTGGTATAAATATGGACCCCATTGATGTTCAACCATGTGGCTTTAATGAAATGCCACATGGGCAAACAAGTGATGTTAATGCTAGGGCAACACACTCACATAACAATGATATAAATAGGGGTGATAACACTCATGGGAAGGGTAAAGAGAGGGCCGCTGATATAAAAAAGGATATAGAAGAGGACACATAAGAGTTTAGTGAAGATGAAGGTGAGTTCTACAACTTTCATTTAGCAACTGATTCTGAGGGTGATGTTGATAGTGATGAGGGTGATGAGGGAAGTTCTGAGAGTGAGGATGGTGATTATGAGGTTATTTCTGATGATGATGATGATACAGATGAGTCATTATATGGTGCTGATGAGGATATTCTTGGAAAGACAAGTGATCTAGAAGCTGAAGTTGTTGCTTCTAGACAGGATAAAGTGAATGAAAAAAGCAGTAAATTAAGATCTAGTGAAGTTAATACTGATGAGATACCTAGTAGACCTGTAGGTATAAACCCTAGTTTTGAAGACATGTATAAGGATAGGTGTAAGGCCCCGTAAAATTTTTCCTAAAAACTCGGATTCCGTGATGCTAAAATAGGCGTAGAGGTTAATAGTCGTAGAAATTCTTCGTGGCGAGCTTGCGAGCTGCAGTTCAGATTTTTTAGATTGAACAGTGCCTGGGGAGTTGAAGAAAAATATTGGGCAGAAGTAGGCATTTCTGCGGCCGCAGAACCACTTTGCGGACCGCAGAATGGTCGCAAAGTGAGGCAGTTTTCTGGGGCATTTTTTGATGTCAATTTCACGGCAAATTATGCGACCGCATAACCGTTTCGCGAGTCGCACTTTGGTCACATAGTCATCCTTAGACTTTTGCGGAGGGAGGTTCTGCAGGCAGCATAACGGCCGTAGAGTGAAGCAGGCCAGCCCAGTTCCCAGAGCCACCTTTCGAGGTCATTTCACGGACCTCATAATCATTATGCGGTCATATATGCGACCGCAAAACCTGTTCTAGAGCTTCATTTTGGGGGAGTTTTAAACCCGACCCTATTTCGTTAAAACACATCCCATAGACCATTTTGAGTTTATTTCTGATATCTTTAGAGTGAGAGAGAGAGTCCTAGAGGGATAAAGTGATCTTCATCAAAACAATTCTCTTCAATTCTTGCTTAAACCTTTGAAGAATATAAAAAGAAGTACCCTAGGTCTTCATCCTAAGAGGTAAGATTCTATCACCAAG